AATTTTGCTCTAAAAAGCACCCCAGGAAAATACCATCACTTTCCAACAAATTGCACTTTAATGATGCAAGAGGCATATTGGGAAAAATCTAAAATGACGAGGCGTATATTGAAAATGTGTCCATTATTGCTATGATGGGAAGGGGCCTTGTCTACAGATATGCATTGATAGATAAGGTGGCCATTTTATGAGGGGATGAAAACTTCTGTTTGAAAAAGCTACGGACCCCTCTCTGTTTTTCAGAGTGAACAAAATTCAGAAGCAAGAGTACGATATAAGACTTCAACACAAACACGGAGTTCCAAGACATGAGCAAATAACTCAGAATAATGTACCCAGTTACTAATTGCATGGCACATTTGAGGGACCCAATTTATATCTGGCATATGTATTTTTACTCCTTAGAACGTAAGAACTAACGGCGGGTATATCTTTATGTATGAATGGTAACAGTCTCCAAACCACAGGTCACATTCTGTCTGTTCAACAGTCAATTTTACCAATATCTCCCTCTCCCTGTCGCACTGATGTAAAGGACCAGGAAATGAGATAACCAATCCAAGATCTCTGTCAGCCTAATCCTTCTTCTTGGTCTGTTTGAGTAGGATGACGACCACCTGCAGGGAGGTGGCGTAGGCCTGAGCTAGCAATCCCCGTTGGTGCAGGCCAGGCAGAAGTACAAGGAACACGGCTGGAAAAGTGCCATAAGAAATATCAGTCATTCTTAACGTGGTAAAATTATCACATCTGAACTATTCTGGCTAAAGTAATTCATGGGCTTGAGTATTTTGATCATGAAGAAAATAAAAGCAAATAGCATAATTCCTTGTTTTAATGTTGCAATAATAAATAAACGGTAAATAAACTTCAAATTATTAATTTAAAAAATAATAAATTAGAGATAAAAATGTAAGTTTTCTTGTGCTATACCATGGACCTGCCTCATAAAAAAATGAACTGAGTCAAATCTACAACTGTAAGCTAGGCAATTCACAAAGAAACAAATGTTCATGAAATATGTTATAATGTACTAGTTAAAAATGAAATAATTCTTAAGTTTTTAATCATTTCTCTAATCATTTGTATACATATTAAATGGATCAGTCATTTGAAAAGAAGTGACTTACCTAACAAGTATGCCAAGCAGATATTAGGGATGAGGTTACCAATGAAAGCAATGACTGCCAGCACAGCAATGACCAGAATGAAGTACTGTCAACAAAGCAAAAACAACATACTGAAGGTTTCTGGTAGACATCTTGAACAGCCGTTGATGGAGGCTTTGATTCGGTAATGGTTTCTCCATTATCATATACTTTCATATAAAGGAGTCATGTCTTTCTGAAACCAAAGCGCTTATGTCCTTGAGCAAGGCAATTTACTCCAATGGCTTTTCCAATGTGGGGAGTATTATGGATACCTATAAAGGTGGAACTAATTACACTCGGTGGCATTATAATCAGCTGGATCTAAGAAAGTGTATGAGGTCATCTCTAGCAGCCTTCAATCCTCCCATTTGAAAATTGAGGACTGTTAAGATGAACTAACAGGGATGCTGACATGAAAGGTCTCAAGTTCACACATCTCTTAAACAGCTCAACTAGCTCAACTACACTGTATATTACAGCAATACCAACTGATGAACAAGTTGGTCCTACCTGTTTTTCTTCTTTCATTGTTTTCAGGCACTGGTAACTATGCATCAATGCACCC